CGTGGCCTGCGTCGTGCGCCCGGGCCGTCGGGCCTGTGGAAGAATCGCGGGCCCCCGCGGGCTGAGCCGGGGGGGCTCCCGCAGTCCGGGCCGGAGAAGTAGGAGCATATGAGAGACGTTTCCCACGTCCTCCCCCATCTTCCTTCCCGGCGCCGCCACCCTGTCAGGCTCCCGGCCTTCGGCTGGAGCTCTGCTCCCGACCCGGGACCCTCAAGTACGCTGTGCGTCTGGCGCACGTGCGCCCCCGGGGCCCCGCGTGACCCCACGACCCCCAGCTAGTCCATGGGCCACGAAGTTGCTCACTGGTTTCAGGAGCCCCCACCTGTGGGGAAGGCACCTAGGGCTAGGAGCCCGGGCTAGTTGGGGACTGGTCCTTGTGCCTGGTCGCTGTGCGCAGGCCCCCAAGGCCAAGCCAGGCCGAAGCAGACCTCAGGCTGAGCCAGTGGACTGGGGACCCTTGGCTGTGACCACCACGTGCAACCACCAGGAGATGTGAGGACTCCCTGTTTTTGCAGCACCAGCCCTCAGGGGTTGGGGCGAGGCGCCAGGGATGCTCCTGAAAATACTTGCGCTGCCACAGGTCCTGAAATGAGGTGGGGCCTTGGGGGCCAAATGAGGTGAAGAGGGGTCGCTAGGGCTTTGTCCCCAAAAACACAAACTACAGAGCCCTTGTCATACATTTCAAACAGCTCCTACGGAAGAAAAGCAAACCTTATCTGTCAGTACCTGGCAGATCCAGGAAAACAAGCTTGAGTGGATGAGCTCTCTCTTTTCCAGCCTTTCACCCCTGAGAAGTCCAGCAAGGCACCCACAGTGCTTCAGGGACCTGGACCAAGAATTGTCCTGGTGCAGATTGACCAGGATGTGGAGCCTGGACATTGCTGAGGAACCGTGTGTGGCCCATTCTCAGCTGGCAGTTGAGCAGCGTCTGACCCAGCACCTCTCAGAGCTTGCAGAATTCGGACACCCACCACCCACCCTGTGCTCAGGGTGAGGGGACAGGCACAGGTGGGGACAAGCGTGTTGGGGAGCTATTGTCCAGAGAAGCTATCTAATGAAAAATCTGAGAAAGGAAAGACAAGTTAAATCAACAATGAGATTTCACATCCTCTCCCATTTAAAAACAGAAATTTTGACAAGTCTTTTATGAAACTTGCCTATACTTTACTGGGAGGAGTATAAGTTGGTATGTCCCATCAGGAAGAGCAATTTGCTGCTATTAACATCCTCTCAAATGAAAACTCTTATAAGCAGTAGTGCTCCAAGAATCTATTCTAGGGAAGTGATGCAAAATGCTGCTAACAATGTAAGGAAAAGTGTTTATCACATTATTTATGTAATTGATACAGTCCCAGGGTCTCCAGCTTTCTGAAAGGGAGCTCAGAGGGAGCTCTCTGCCCTAAAGGTAGTTTTTGTTTGTTTAAATCAATATCTTTATTGATTTCAGAGAGAGGAAGGGAGAGGGAGAGAGAGAGAGAGAAACATCAGTGATGAGAGAGTCATTGATCAGCTGCCTCCTGCTCACCCCCAACTGGGGATCGAGCCCACAACCAGGCCTGTAGGCATGTGCCCCGACTGGGAGTTGAACCACAATCTCCCGGATCCTAGGTCGATGCTCAACTGCTGAGCCACACCTGGCCCGGCACAAGTGGCCTTTTTAAAAACTTATTTTAGAGAGAGGGCAACTTCGACCCATTGTTCCATTCGTCCACGCATTCATTGGTTGTTTCTTGTGTGTACCATGACCAAGGATGGAACCTACAAC